TCATTTCAGGTTTATTGTTGCTTAATATAATTGTTATTTTCAACTATTCTTTTTTAATTATTCTTTTTTACTTGTTTCAGGGATTTCAAATCATTTTATATAATAGACAATGGAAGTCCGAACTAGTGAAATTCATCACGAAACATTGTCAATCACCTTCAAACAAAAAGTATCTTATGTTACTTCTAATACCTCCAACAACATGTGTACAAGATTTCATGATGATCGGTTGAATAACCGGTGAAACCGTAACAAACAAACTTACATTCGCATCTATAATGTCAGTAGGGATTTATTAGTATTGTTTTCGGAGAGTAGTGGTAAAATGAAATGATATAACAATTCAAATTTATTTCTAGGTTGCAATTATTATTGCTGTTTCTGGGCCAAAAACTATACATCAATGTCTCGGACACAAAAACTAAAACCGAAAGGTCATGTATTGTTTCTGCCAATTTCTATAATATTTGTAGAAAGTACATGAACCTTGGACTCAATGACTTGGGAAACTAAACAAAAATTATATAATGTATATGTTACTGTACATGGGGATCTCGAATTTGAATTACATTATTACAATTATTTAATGTTATTCCACCGTCGATGTGGCAGGAAGACGGCCTTTTTCCGTTTCGTCAAGAATTTGAAACACTGCGAATACAATTGTTCTTGAATACTATTTATGACTACATTTGATATATTTCGCATGTATGTCATAGAATTATTTTCATAATTTTCGGCCATGGTCTAACTTTTCCAGTCACCATGGCACTTCAATGCCATTAAGTCACTCTCTCCATCAACTAGGATGGAGATATATGCAGATATATGATCTTCTGAAGTAGTTTCCAGTATATGGATTTTTTAAATATAAAAGTTTGGCAATAATTTTTGTTTAGTTTCCCAAGTTATTGAGTCCAAGGTTCATGTACTTTCTACAAATATTATAGAAACTGTCAGAAACAATAAATGACCTATCGGTTTTAGTTTTTGTGTCCGAGACATTGATGTATAGTTTTTGGCCCAGAAACAGCAATAATCATTGCAACCTAGAAATAAATAAATTGTTATATCATTTCATTTTACCACTACTCTCCGAAAACAATACTAATAAATCCCTACTGACATTATAGATGCGAATGTAAGTTTGCTTGTTACGGTTTCACGCGAAAATTATTCAACCGATAATCATAAAATCTTGTACACATGTTGTTGGAGGTATTAGAAGTAACATAGGATACTTTTTATTGAAAAAAATTATTTGATAGTAACGGAAGAAACAGTAACGTACCTGTGCTATGTGAGGATTATCACTTTATGAATATTACACAAAATTACACAATTCTATAACAAAGTATCTGATATTTAGTACTTTACCAAAACCAACAACTGCAAGGAATTATTCATTTTCGTCTAAAAACGAGTTCTGAGGACTCATTCAATATAATATACTTTTGTTGCAGTTTTCACTTTTTTTTTTCATGAATACCAAACTTTTATTTTTTTTAAGTTGTCCCACATATCTTGAAGTGAACCAGCACTTTTGGAATATTTTATTATGTTCAGTCTTTTTTTAAATTCCGATTCGGGACTCAGTATCTTGGTTTATATGGAACAAGCAAATACTCTCATTTCATATTTAAAATTCTCATTTATAAAATCGTTGATGTGTGATTTAACGTAGAAGTTGAATCCAAGTGATCATCTTCAAAAGGAAAATTAAATCTTGAAGATGATCACGTGGTGATTGAAACACATGTCGAGGTGTTGAAACTAACGTCTTAAAGTTGAGATAAAACTCCAGTAATATTCATCACTACAACAAAAGTTCCAAAAAGTGCATCATAAGATATAAATGAGTTGAGTTGAAGTTTACAAATCAGTTCAGGTAACCTTCTAATACCAACATATTTCCTCGAGAAAAGTTTTTTATCGACCTCTCTTGGGAATTTTTACCTCCGACAATCTGGAAAATTATGAACAATATAATGGAGAACTTTATACAAGTGTAAAAAGGGTAAACTTTTTAGTTTATCCCGATAAGTTACTGCGTAAAATCAAAGTATTTTTCAAAAAGAAATATATTCTATTCATCAATAACTTGTCGTATTCAACAATTTTGCCTATCAAAAAAAATTGTTAAGAAATAATACAATACTTATCTTGATGTTTCAGAGGCCAAAATCTGCCTACGTCTACAGAAATGGACAAAAAATTCAAAGATATTTTTGCAGTTTTCCCTTTGCTGACTATTTATTTCTCAACTTCTTTGACATATGTCTAAAGGGTTTTGAAATGTGAATTATATCAATGTTATTAATTGACTACTGAAACATTCGATGTAATACAAGATGCTCTTCGATATCAGTTTATTGCCGTTTCGCCACTATCCTAATTTTTCTTCAAGACGGGTAGCCAAGTGCGATCTATTTCTGAGGAACTGTTCGAAATACAATTCTCTCCAATATGTTAATATACGCTGATTCTTTTAGTTCACGTCTCTTGGAGTGAGGCTCATTGGTAATCATTATTGTCTTTTTTCATTCAATGTTCACTGCCTGATTTTAAAATGTGGTCTGACAATTTAGATCCTGCTAATTTTTTATTTTTGATATATTCTCGATTCTCTTTGCCACGCACTCGAAGTTCCACTATCCAGATTACATAAAAAATAGACAATTGACAGGTTCTAAATTGTCAGAACACATTTTGAAATCAGACGTTGAACATCTAGTTGAATGGCAAGAGACAAGAATGGTAAGAATGACCCACAAAATTGAAAATAATTGCCTTTCAAAATGCGCATGTTTCAAAGCAAGTATTCAAATATATTACATTTCAAACTAGCAGAATAAATCATAACATTCTTATTCAGGACATCACATTGTCTCATAGTATTTGACAGTTTTTAGTGGTTGAATTTTAATATGCAAGCTGGAAAGTGCCATATATTTGAAATGAAATAAGAAAAGATTTAACTTTAAGGGAGCCGTATGAGAACTTTTGGAAAATTACCCTGCAGTCGCCCAATACACCATCCACATTTGACGATATGTGGTTGCAACTAATTTTTTACTTCAGGACTCTAAAAATCATATGATGTGGAAAGGTATCAAATGACCCCATGCGATTTTTTTCAGGTCCTCACATGAGATTGGAAGGGGATATCCCGGAAGGGGCTTGTATTTGGAACTGGAGAGAGGTGCAGGTGGGGACTTTTCTCCGCCTTCTGACAATGTCATTTTTGACAACCAGTGTTATGCAACGACTCCAAGCTCAAGTAATGGAAACTCTGATCCGGAACAAACTCAACACCACTATGGCCGTCATAGGCATATGCATCAACAAATGAATCAAGTGAGTTAAATTGATATTCTGCAAATGACAAATGTTATTTGTCAAAACCAAAAAATCTAATACATGTTCAACCTTCTCCGTTAGTTTATATGTTCAATTTATTGTTTTTAACTCATTTTTACTGCCCTGAAGAAGCTTCCCATTAGAAGCGAAAGCTTGGCAAAGTAGAACAGAGATTTGATTTTT